AGAGAGCTGGGCCTGGTGCAGTTCAGACCAGCCCCTCCTAGCAGTCAAGGGAAGAGCCGGGCCTGGCATGGGAAGCCTCTGGGCGGGGCCCTCCCCAGAGGCAGAGGAATAGAGCAGGGCCTGGGTCAGCCTTGGGCCCTCCCCGGAGGTGTGTGGCGGAGAGGGCGGGGCAGAAGGGAAGGGGAGAAGAGCCGGGGTTGGGTAGCCCCTAGTATAGGTAAATGAAGAAACTGTTTTTGAATGGATTAATATATATATTGATCTGAAATATTGAATCCACACATAGTCTAGTAATTATTTGGTTTCTGAATCAGGTTTAGTTCGTTTTTAAAAATACATTAGCTCATCTATAAAAAAAAGAGTCAGAAGACAGAAAAACTGATGAAAAAAATCAATGTGCATACTCAGTTTTCTGAAGAAAGGGCAGATTGTGTGTCACAATGCTCTAACGTACTCAACACCTGTATTCTCTTCTCACAGATAGCATAACAACTCCTTTAAGCCATACAAATTCTAGTCCTACTGTCAACAAGCGTTAGAAACAAATGTTATGGAATTAATAACACGTGCCATTATCATTGCTGATTTTGTAGCATCCCATTTCTCATTTTTCAGCTGTATGTAGTTTGGTTAGCTTTAGTTGCCGTTTAAGACAGTGATCTTGCCTATAAAAAAACCTAGTATACTATTGCATCTATGTAAACAGATATATCGTTAGACATGAATAAATGGGATTCTAGCTCAAACAACATCATCAGCCTTCTCCAAATAAAATAAAGATGGAGTGGGACAGACAGCCTCACCAAAGATACTGGGCCACAGGGAGCCTCATCTTTGGAAGTTGCCCGTGAAGAGAGTTTTGCTTAAGGTTTTTGCTTGGGATCAGCGATGGAGCAGAGTATCAGACCACTTACCTGAGGCATCAGCTTGTCTCCTGCTTTAGGTCCCCAAAAAAGAAGACAGAAACTGTCAAACCACTGAATTTCCGTACATGTTGGGGTAACAAGATATATTTTTCCTTGCTGTCGTGTTTTTCAAGTTAAACAAGAGAAAAAAGTATGTTTTGACAGGCAACACGAAGAATATTCACAACAGCTTAAAGAGAATACATACTTGTTTGACAAAATCCACAGGTCAAAGAGGGTTGGAGCCAAAGAATATTTTTCATAAATGTTCCGTGAGAAAAACACTTCACTACCATTTATTGGTGAAGTGTCCCTGGTTTAAAAAAAAAAAAAAAAAAGGTGTGCTTGTATTACACAATATTATATAATACTACAAGTTAATTTTCTGAGGGTGTATCTGCACAGCAAAGTTATTTTGGAATAACAGCCGTTATTAATATAATTTGAAATTATTAATATAATTTCAAAATAATGGATGACCTATTCCGACTTCTGTAAACCTCATTCTACGAAGAATAACACCTATTCCAAAGTAAGGCATATGTAGATGCTCCACTTCTGCTATTTCGAAATAGCCCTTCACCAGGGCCATTCTAAGTTATTTCTGCTGGGGCTCTAAATTGAGCTAGCACATCTACATTAGAGAAGCCTCAGGCTTTCCTGCAGTGTAGACACGCTATTTTGAAATAAGCTATTTTGGAATAACTATTCCAGAATGCCTTATTTCAAATAACTGTGCAGTGTAGATATAGCCTATGAGCCCAGTAAACAGAGGAGGTGTTGGTAATACTGTTGGACAATGCTGACCTTCCATGGCTCGGCATCCCCACAAGAGTTATACTAGGGCTGATTGCTCTTGCCCATCCTGTCCCTGTCAGGGAGTGAGCAAAAAGTGCATACCTCATCTCCCCCTGCTCTCCCTAACCAGAGAGAAAAATGCAGCAAACTGTGCACTGTCCCTTCAATCCCTGATGAAGGGGAACAGCCAGTCATGACCCCATAGAATCCAGGGGTGGGAGGATGTTTTTGCCCCACCCCCAAAGAGCACCAGGGGGTGGGAAGTTCAGAGCTGAGGCAGTCCCAAATGGTGGGGGAGAAAGAGGAAAGCACCCCCAGCCAGCCTGGTAATTTTGTCTCTTTTCAGTATGGCTTTGAGAAGCAATCCCATTTGAGGTAAAGCCCATTTTCCTGGCACAACCAAACCTTTATGCTGCTTTGAATTACCAGAAGAGGAAGCTGTATACTGTATTTGGTGGTTCTAGCTCTTACCAGTTAGGAAGAGTTTTTGAACAAACAAAGAAACTCAAATATGCAGTAAGGACGTTAAGGACTAGGAAACTATGCCATACACCAATTGGTGCTCCAGGGAACCCTGGGGTTCCGCGAAGCAAAACTAGGGGTTCCACGAGGAGCTGGCACTCCCCCGCCACCTCTGAAAGACAAAGAGCCAGCTAGCCAGCAGAGGCATGGGTAGCGAGTTGTATGGGCTCATGGTGCCCATGCTCCACCAATATTTGGAACTGGAGCGGGCCTCGACCCCCCCCATGTGTCCTCCCACCCCGGTCCCAGAGCATCTCTCCCCTGTTCCCGGGCCCATCCCCGCCGTGCGCAACCTTCACTGAGCTTCCCCTTGCTGGCTGCTGCCGCCCTGCGCAGTGTGCTCAAACCGGTAGGCGGGGAGATGCCCAGGCATGCCGTAACGTCATGGCCTGGGATTTTAAAACTGCTGGGCCCTGCGTTGCGCTGTATGGCTCAGTTGCGGGTTCGGAGTCTGGGGACGGAGTGCAGACTCCAGCCCCACAAAGTGGAAGGCAGAAGGTAGGAGAAGGGGAAGGGCTGGGAGAGGAAGGGGCTTGTGCGGAGGGGCAAAGGAGGGGAAGGCACCAAAGGGATAAGGTAGAGGAGAGACAAATGCCAGGGGGCCAAGAGCAGACAATGAGGAAAAAGGCAGGAGGGGATGTATCAGCGGGAGGGGGACAGGGTGATGCTGGGAGAGGAGAGGGTAAAGGCATTGGGGGCTAGAGAGGGGACGGGGAGGTGCTGGGAGAAGGCTTGAAAGAAGGGGTGGGCATAAGGGAGGCCAGGATGGAGCAAGTCATGTGTGAGGGCACAGAGGCATGAGGGGAACGGGGGCAGATGGTGGTGAGGGGGTGGGCATCAGGGAAAAAGAGGGCAAAGGGGGCAGTGAGGGAAGAGGGAGGCAACAGGAGGGTGCAGGAGTAAGAGAAGGTGCAAGTGCCAGGGAATTCTGGGGGTGAAGCAGAACGGCAGAAACCTGCAGGGGAGGGACCAGCACCAGAGGAGAGATGCAGGGCAGGTTTGTAGAGGGAGGTGTTAGAAGAGGGGATGAGGAGGGGTAGCTCACATGATCAAATTGGGGCTACTGGAGGAGTGGGCACGGGGGGGAGAGAAGGGCTGGTGGAGGGGGGCAGGTTGCAGGAGG